TGACACTTCGGGAGGTTGAGGGCGAGGCCAACTGCAGGCTGCAATCTCCGTAGGCACTCAAAGAGAGGGCCTATCCCATCAAACAGACACCTCAGGCCAAAACAGAAGTCGTCAGCATATGCTAGGGAGAGCTCGACGTGGTCGGGCAGGCGCCAGGCCAGCCACGCAAGTACAGGCTCCGCCGCAAGTGTGAACAGTAGCATCGAACTGGGGTCCCCCTGGCGTACGCCTCGTTCAATGGCAAAGCTGTCCAATAGCCGACCGAAAAGCGAGACCGTGGCAGTGTTATTGTCATGAAGTTCCTTGAAGAAGTTGACGACGGCACCAGGGACCTTCACTTTCTCCAGGACGTGTAGGACCCAGGGGACAAAGGTCGATGGGAAGGCGGACTCGAAGTCCGTGAGGACCAATCCAGACGTGTACCGATCTTTAATATGCTTCTGAAGAATGAACAGCTCAGCTTCAATAACATTCACAATCATGTCCCGCCCCTTGAAACATTGTTGGGGACTCCGTATCAGGTTAGATAACGCAACTTTCCTGGATAATGCCCAAGTCATGGAAGCAGAGAGAAACTTGCAATCCGTGTTCGTCATACTAAGAGGTCGCGTGACCTGAGGCTTTCGAAAGACACCCTCCCCGATCTCCTGTTCAGTGATTTTCTTGGGGAGGAAAATCATGATGGCACTTTTCATGTCGTCAGGAATGCCCGAGGTCGGGTGAGTGAACAGACGGCAGTAGCACTCATACAGGGCGTTCCTGGCAGCAGGTACCCTCCAGGCAGAGTAGGGAATGCCGTCCTCCCCAGGCATGCTGTCAAGCTTACGGTGTATCAAGTCATCCCACTCAATCTCTCCCAAGATCCATCCCTCCTCCTGAAGCTCGTTAAAGGTGGCGTTGGCAGGGACAGACAGCGGCTTGATGAAACGAGAGAGCTCAGGCCAAAGCGAGGCGCCCACCTCGGTGGCCGCAAAAACCCCCTTTCCAGTGCTGCAGAAGAGCGCCAGCAGCTTCGGCCCCCGAAGAACTCGGTGCGCCAGTTTCCGAGAGGGCGCCCTGGAGCCAGGTGCGTCGCTTCATTTCCCTCCAGAGCTCTTTACGATTATTGACCTTTTTTTGCGGGCACTGTCAAGGGCATCCTCAGAGATATTCGCGGCACCTGCCTCCAGCTCTCGCCCTTCCTCCGTGAGCAATGTGATGCGCAGATACTGAGCATGCTGGCAGAGAGCGAGAATGCGGGCATCGCGAAGATCAGGGGATGGAAAATGTGCGGCTAGAGCAGGATAAGAGCGAACGGCGAGACGCACGCGCGACTCATCACCAGCGCGCCACGCCCGGAGAGCCTGGAGGGTTCTGAAGTGCTTGGCCTCCGTCGTCTCCGCTGGCTGGGACGCTAATTGTGACCGAACCTCTTCAGCGACTTCAAACATCAGGTTTTTGATGCGGCCCAAGCGGTCCCAGGGATTCAAGTCCAAGCCGTAGAGGGCGGAAATCGCGGGCTCCAGGATGCCCCGAAAGAAGGGGTGACGGGCCAGCCACTTCGGGAGCTTCTTGGGGGCCTCCTGGGGCTTGAAGGTGCTGAGGGTCACAACAACGGGGATGTGGTCCGAGACCATGTTCGACTGTAGCCGCCCAAGTGTTTCCCCTCTGATAGTAAGATCGGCCAGCAGAGCAGGCGGCAGCGTGCAGTAAGCTCGATCAAAACGTGCAGTGTGAACTATCGTGCCCTCCCTGACCTCCCGCCTTGTGTCCTCGGATTGGTAAAGTTCGGTCCACTGCGCGCCGTGCCGAAAGAAAAGCTTCGTGTGCGAGTCATCCCCAGATGACCATCCACTGCCGTCCGCTCTCAAACGACCGTCAGCAGACAGCGCAAAGTTCCAGTCGCCTATCAGAACAGTAGCGCATGCCGTGGGAGAGGGGAGGGAGACGATGATGTCACGCAGTGCTCTTGCATAGATGGTGAGAAGGTCGCTAGTATTTGGCATGTGAACGTTTATGATGCAGAGGTCGCCATTGGGCCCCGAGAGGTAAGACTTCAGAATGCGCCCTTCAACGATGGGAGTGTGGACAATGGACGAGAACGACTTGCAGAGGGATGGCTGGACGCATGCGAGGACGCCCCCTTCCCGAGCAAGAGTCAGCGAAGAGCGAGTGACCGATCTCAAAACCTCGAAGCTCACACTGCAGCTCATTGATATCAGCAACGTGACCATGACACTCTTGTGCGCAAAGAACAGTGAGCTGCTTTGCGTACTTGAGGAAACGTGCGTGACGAGCAGGGGCTTTGACACTCTGACTGCGAACCGCTGCAAAGAGAGCATGAGTGTTCCAAGAACCGATCTTCAGGGAGGAGGAGGGGAAAAAGGGGAAGGGCCCGACAGATGAATCACGAGGAGGCAGACCCTGGCTCGCAGCATCCACAGACAGGAGCACCCGCACAGGGAGGGCCGCACCCACAGCCAAGGGCACATCTTCAGCGCACGGAGCACCGCTAAGAGCCAGGGGGCCAGGCGGAGAAGCTTGCCCGACAGGGCTCGCAGCAAAGTTGCACAGCACATGCTGTGACCAGGCAGCTGCGCCCACAGCCCAGGGCTCGCCTCGAGATTCCTCAAAAGGGAAGCGAAGCGTTCAGGTGGGCCACCCCATCCTTGATCTGATCAAGGAGAGGAGTGACAGTGGCGTGAAACCCCGCAAACTGTTCAGGCTCATATTGAAGTGCGACCACTGGTTTCACTCCACTACTGTCGATGGAGACGTGGAACAGGATGACGGGGCCCTCGGGCGCGCGAAGCACGTAGATGTCACCGCCGAGGCCGTTCGAGCCCATCTCCTTCTGGAGGGGCCGCATCGCTGCCGCCAAGAGCCCCCGAATCTTGCCCATGGCAAGGAAGAGGAGGCGAGTGCCAGGCTCCATGTCCCTCTTGGCGCGGAGCTCGAGGAACTGGCCAGGGAAGACAGGGTCGGGGCAGCGGATCGGTTGAGCAGCTGCAATGTTGGTCAGGACGTCCGAAGCTTTCGTCGAGTCCGCGAAGTCCAAGGTCACTTTCTTAGTCATGTCAAAGGCGCGAACAACCGGCTGAGGTCGCCCTTGAGGAACGCCAGCTTGAAGAAATAAGCCTGCAGCAGCACGAAGGGTAGCCTGCGTCATCTTGCGGGGGACGCCGACAATCACGATCCGATGCGCACGTTCCATGGCAGAAATTCGAGTCTCCGAAGATGGCTTGAGTGGCTTGGGGCTCTTCGTGATCTTGGAGAGTTGGTCCTCGATGGCTCTGATCCTCTGCTGCACGACGGAGGGCTGGGGGTCCATGTCCATTCCTTCACCACCCATGGGCGTCGGAGTGCTTTCACATTGACAGAGCCTGCCGTGCATATTGTCAAATCTGCTGCTGCAAGTCTTTCATCTGCAGGTCCGCGTGGGCAGATGACGACTGAACCTGGCTCGCGAGAGAGCTCATCTGGGTGGCAAGGTCCGCGCAGCGCTTGTTGGATATCTCAACCTCCTGCTGGAGCTGGGCCATCTCCTGGTGCGAGGAGTGGACGGCGCCCGCAAGAGTCTTGATCGAGTCGAGGATGGAGTCAATTTTGATTTCCATAATCGTCGCGTTGGTCTGGCGCGGGTAGATCTGGCGGAAGCCATCATCATCACTGCCGCCGTTCCGACTGCGACTGTGGGAGCGCCTATCACTGCTGCCACTGGAAGTGATACGGCGTCTCGACGGCGACGTGCTGGGGGGCCTCCTGCGCTCGTGCGTCGGGCTGCTGGAGGTGTTGCGCAGCGGGCTGGACGACGAGCGCCCCTTCGCTGCCTTCTTCTCCGCGCGGGTTGCCTTCGGATCCTTCCTCACACCCCTGGGAGCCATCGCGCCGAGGCAAACTGAGCAGCACGAGTGAACGGTACGCAAATGCGTGAAACTGAAAATGTTGGTGCCTGTGGTCGAAAGAAGCGATCCTGGAAGGGCGGCAGCCCTCGAGCCAGGCCCTCTGCTGCGACCAAGCTCGAAGCGCCAGGCCGCGCGTTTCGAACTTGAGCCAAAATGGCTACGGATTGATTTGTCGTCGGTGTTGGAAGGATTTGGGCATACCATGCGTGTCGGCGGGTTCCCTGGATGAGCCCGTTACGGCGCCCGGGCCTGGCTGCGCGGCACGTGGACGCGCTGGCCCGGCCGCAAGGCGCTCTGACCATAGCTGCAAGCTTTGGGACGTGCCCGACTGGACCCGCGCGCAGCCCCTGCAACCGGTAGGCTATGCTGAGGCGCGGCACGAGCCTGGCCGCAAGCCCTGGCAGGGCTACTATGCGGCCTTCGGGCGAAATGCGGCCTCCACGGATCGGAGCCACACACTCCCAACGCTGCAACTGGGCTCCCCCAGCGCTGCCACGCTCAGATGATACTGAACGCACGCGCGCTGAGCGCGCACTGAGATTCTAGACGGAAGCAAGGGCCTCATCGAACGTGGGGAGACACAAGATTATTTTCCTTGCCTCGGCCGTGTGCGCCCACAACGATTCGTAATCTAATTCGCGCGTCTCCGGAGGCATTGGCTCTACCACGTCCCAGGCTCCACTCTGTACGTGAGGGGCCAACAACGAGTCCTGCAGCCCGCCCCTGCTCGTCGGCCGGATTGTCATCGATCGGGACCAAGTCTGTCCAGATCCGCGCGCGCAGGCACGTGAGCGCAGCGGGAGCAATGAACGCCATCCGCCCCATGGTCTCCGTCGGCGATCCCGCCTTCATAAGTGCGGAAGCGGCATTTCTGTTGTTTGCAAACCACAAAATCTCTCGCGCCTGCAACATGTCTGGACCTGTACTGGCCAGCAGCGGCGCTGCCAACAGTTCCCCCTGATTGATGATGTGAGCGGAGCGGCCGCACCACCACCCGGCCATCTGCGAGGACGGGTCGTAGACGATAACAGTCGGGTGACGCCCTGGTACGAACACCTTCGCACCAATGCGCAGCCGCCCACCCTCTAGGGAAGCATCGGTGTACACTACTAACACTTATATCGGCCGCCGCGGCGGCGCCAGCAGTGGAAGCGGCGTGGCTGGCGCATAACGAACCGCCGCCTGGAGGTACCGACGAGAAGCGTGGAGGTTTGACCGTTCTGGTATGGCTGTTGTGCCATCGTAGTACTGCCGCGCTACGAGGGCGCTCAGGGCGGCCCTGCACAGCCTGCCTATGCAGCTCGAATCCAGCCAGCTGAGCACAACGCGTAAATGCGAAGCCTGTCCAGAAGTCAGCTCGCCTCTTTCCCACACTAACGCCATTTCCTTTTCGAACGCTTCTCGCGCCCCTGGCTTCGGGCCATATGCGACTGCACAGTCGTTGATAATCGAGGCCAAATCCGTCAACGCGCGAAGGAGGACAGGCATTGCCGTCTCCGGCTTGCGTTTCTTAGCGGGTAAGTGGGCCCCCGCCAGCCTGCACAGGCGCTGGAACGCTGCTGGCCCGTCGCCGTGCAGGCCAGTGAGCTCCAGAATGCCGTTATCGTCGACATAATGCGCACACATAATGAACAGAATCCGGCGGGCTGCCGCCGTCAAGACTGCTGGCGCGCGGTTAAACTGGTTCACCGCCGCGCCAAGCCCGAAGGGGAGCCCCCGCAGAACTACGTTTAGCCAGCGCCGCTCTACGGGGTGCAGCACGGCTACCACCACGAGGCCCACATGTTTCCTGCACGGGAACAGCTGCCTGTAGCCCTTCCACCAGTCCTCCACGACTGCCTGCAGGTGGAACCATTCAGGCAACTTCCCGTATGCAGCGAACGCCTCCTGGGCGAAGTAGCGGGCCATCTGTGCCAGGATGAAGGCTGGCACGTGCATGATGGCTTCGCGCACGCTATAAGGCATTCGTCTTTGGGCGCCTCCCACCATCTATACACCGGTAATCGCCATGTTGTTCGATTACGCTGCGCGGGAGAGGACGCGCCCCTCATACTCCAAATTGCTGGCGCAGCTGCTCGCGAGTCAGCGGCGGGTCAGCGCGACTCTCGTTGACCTCCTCCAAAGTCAGGTCCCATATGATCTGCGTCATGTCGTCTGGATCCGCGCGGCTCTCGAGCTTGTCAATGAAGGCCTCAGCGCTGCGCCCGAAGAGCGCGTCGTCGCTTTCGAGCGCAATGGGTTTACCGACCTGCTGTTGCTCAATCGGCCGGTAGATGCCCCAGGCGCAATGTCGCCCGCAATTTCGAACCCGTCGGCCAACCTCAACGGCAACACCTTGTCGGGCCACTGCATGAGCACCACGAGGAGGGTGCCGGGCAACGAACAGAGGCCGCACGCCCGGGGCGCCCTCGATCGAGCAATGCCGTTGGACCAGCAGCGCGTTATCCGGTTCGCGCACCGCTTCCGCAGCTTACTTCAGAATCTGCATGTTCTGTGCCCTCGTTCGCCTGGTGCTTGGGCCCTCGCGCACGTAGCCGCGGATCACGAACAGGAGGTCCAGCTCGAGCTGCGGGTCCGAGGCGAACGGGTGCTCGAGCTGCGCGGCCGCGGCTTCAAGCGCATCCTTGCCGATACCTTCGGGCACCAGGCTCGCCGCCGCATCCCTGGCCCCAGAAGGCCGGTGCTGTTTGCCCAAAGCTACATGCTTGTACGACTTGCGCCATAAATCCCCGGCTCGAGCCAAAATGGTTGTCGGGCGCGGGGTGCGTAGCGCAAGCAAGCCCCCACATTCCCAAGCTCCTTATCCCCCCCTGGCTCCCGGCCAAACACCCCTGGTCTGGCCTGGGCCCTTGCGGAGGGGGTCACCTAAGGAAGAGAATTGGGCCAAATTTGATGCTTAGGTGACCCCACGGAACGGCGTTAAAACTGTTAAAGGACATTTTCGGTGTACCGGCCTAGCCTAAGTTTTGGGCGCGGCAGCGGGGAAGACGGGTTGCACTCCTCACACCAATCCGAATATCGCACGAGCTGGGGCAGCGCAGGTGGGGGCCGAACATATGTTCTAGGGCCCTGTGAAACCCACCAACCCCCATGATTTGCCATAAGGACACTGGTCCTGCCTGCCTTCCAGCGACACGAGACGACCCAAGAGCCTCCAAAGATCGCCCAAGCGCGGCCCAAGAGGCCCCCCAAGGCGGCTCCAAGAGAGCCCCAAGACGGCCTAAGAGGCCTCCAAGACCTCCAAGATGGCCTCTAAGACGGCTCTGGAGCACCCCAAGAGGGCCCCAAGTCGGCCCAGAGAGGCCCCCAAGACGGCTGCCGACGGCGTCAGACGGGCCACGAATGCCCTAAGGCAAAAGAAGCCCCCGAGAAGCCCCAAAGGCCCCCAAGAGGCCCAAGGAGGTCCCCAAAATGCCTCCAAGAGGCCCCAGGAGGCTCCCCGAGAGACTCCTAAGATGCCCCTCCTCCGCCTCCTCCTCCTCCTCCTCCTCTTCCTCATCATCCTCCTGATAATCTCCGCTATCCTATCCCAAGTGTTCCTCGAAAGGTTTCCACAACGGCTGGGGAAACACATGGTCCAATAGCTTGGCAGAGCTCTTGCCACAACGCTCTGCCATGTGGGCAATTCCAAGAGGCAGTGGGCGGCGGTGATTCGCCGTGAGCGTCTTTGATATGTTGAAAGCATGGCCATATCCATGTCTGCATCCATACCCATATCCATGCCCGTAGGATTTCGGTATGCAAATCCACCGCCTGCCGACGTCTCCGAAGGTCGAACCCCTCATGGATAAACTCCCGCCTCGCTTGGGGGGGGGGGCGGCCGACCGCGGGCCTCGAAGAAACCGCCGTCGTCGGGGCCGCTCATGAACAGCCGGTACGTGTCGATCCCCGCGCCCAGCGAGGCGGGGGCGGACCAGCGCAGGTTCGCGGACGTCAGGGTCCTGCTGGGGGCGGCGGGCGGCAACGGACGGCGGCAGACGTTGCGGCGGGGAGGCCCCCGCCGGCCACGCAGGCGGCCTCTGCGCCCCCACCGTATCGTCGTCGGTGGGGAGTGGGGGGGACTGCAAGAGCAGTGTCGTCGTCGTCCTCCTCCTCCTCCTCCTCATCCTCCTCCTTGTCCTCCTCCTTCTTCTCCTCCTCCTCCTCCTCCTCCTCCTCGTCCTCGTCCTCCTCCTCCTCCTCCTCCTCCTCCTCCTCCTCCTCCTCCTCCTCCTCCTCATAAGTGTTGCCCTCGGCCCTCCTCGAGGATCGACGAGACATTTCAGACAGCTTCGGGCGGATATTGGATTTTGTTTGCCTTTTTCGGGTCTCTGGGAGCCTCCGGGGATCTCCGGGGATCTCCGGGGACCTCCGGGGGACCGTTGGGACCGCTGGGACCTCGTGGGATTTCGGGGGGCCTTCGGGGACTTCGGGGGACCTCCGGGGGTCACGATTTGAGACTTTGGGGTGGCGATTTGACAACCTCCTCGTCCTCGTCGTCCTCGTCGCCCTCCTCCTCCTCCTCCTCCTCCTCCTTCTCCTCCTCCTCCTCCTCCTCCTCCTCCTCCCTCCTCTCCTCCTCCTCCTCCTCCTCCTCCTCCTCCTCCTCCTCCTCCTCCTCCTCGTCCTCCTCCTCCTCCTCCCTCCTCCTCCTCCTCCTCCTCCCTCCTTCTCCTCCTCCTCTTCCTCCTCGTCGTCGTCGTCCTCCTCCTCCTCCTCCTCCTCCTCCTCCTCCTCCTCCTCCTCCTCCCCCTCCTCCTAATGACATGAGCAGTGTAGCGGTTGCGTTCGTGCGAGGGAACAATGCGCAGGCCCAAACCAACTTGACGTAGAGGCACGCGCAAGCCACCTAGAAGGCGCCGCGCAAGTAAAATTATAAAAATGTGGCGACGAAGATTAAACAAAATAGGCGCGTGCCAGGTGGCAGAGCCGGGCTATCGTGACCTCGGTGCCCCACACACCCCGCCTACCCAGGCAATAACCCGTCAATCTGTTAACGTGGGGCAGCCGAAAAATATGAGGTTGCGTAGTGGGCCTTTGAGGCCAACAGGAAAAGGTGAACGGCAGGCAGTCGCCGTAAAAATGAAGTGCAAGCTGGGCAATTGCCGTGAATTGCGGGGTTGTCCGTGCTCTGTGGGTCAGGTGCCCCCAAAGGTACGAAACTTCCGTATCCGCGACCACCGCGAGAATGTAACAGTCCCCCCCCCCTGATGAAAAGTTGCGGGCTGACAGTAGCGTGCGTCTGAAGAGCACGGGTAAGCAACAGTTTCTTGCAATTAAGCTGCATGAGGGATGGAAGCTGCTGCAATGAGAACTGCCGTTTAGGGTGTTCGGCAGCTATTTATGGACAGCCTGGGACTACATGAAACATGGAAGGAAACTCGGTGTTGCAAAATAAATGAACATATGCACACGCTGCATAAATTCGCAGAAGCCGCCCGCTGGATTAGCGCAGTGGCACGCGGCACGCGCGAAACGCAACTGCGCGCGCTCGCCCAGGGGCGATCCACCCCGGACAACTCGAACGCCTCGCTTGCGAGTCGACGACGCAACCCCGCCGGATCTGCACATCTCCGACGCCGCATCTGCGACGGCAGCGGCGGCGGCGACGCGGCGAGAGGCAGGCAACGGGGCAGAAGCAGCAGCGCAGCCGCTGACAGGAACGACGGCGCCAGGAAAACGACGACGGGGCTGACGAAACCCGCGCGCGAGGAGAAGGAGAGGGGGCAGACGCGCGACATCGTCTGGAGAATAACACCGGGCGAAGATGGGGCGCAGAGGGCGAAAAGGGGGGCGACTAGAACTTGAATGGGGACGGCTAGAACAGCCTCGATGGGGGCGCTGAGAACGGGCTCTTGGGACGAGGGGGACAAGGTGACGAGGTGGATAAAAGTCGATGGAGGCGGGCCCGGGCCACGCGAAGCTACAGGCCGACTCGCCGCTGCAAACGACCACGGGCCACCCGGCATTCCTGCGATCCAAACTCTCATATGGCTGCTGCACCATCGTCGCGCGAATGCCGATGGCAAAAAGTCCTGCGTGCCCCCGCGCGCCGACGACGTCAGGAGCACGCCGCCGCGGCCGGCGCGGCTGCCGCCGCTGCGACTTGCGAGTAAGCCAGCAAGAACGCCCCAACTGCCGCCGACGACGTGGACCTCCCTGTTCCTCGCCCCTGCCCCCCCCCCCCCCCCTCCATCCCCCCCCCCCCCTCCGATCGCGCCCCCCCCCCATTGCCCCTCGCGCGCTCATCGCCCTGCCCAACGCCCTCTCAGGTTGACCCCGTTGCTCTCCCTGGCCGTCTGCGCCGCGACCCCCCGCGGCGACCCAGATCCACGGCGCCGCTCGCATCTGGCCCAGCCCTCGCCGATTGCGCCAGCGCCTCGGGCAGCAAATTCGAGGGCCCCAAAAATTGCCGCCATATGGCCACCGAGACCCAGCGCGGCAAAAAGCACACCCCAGGCTCCGCACCAGACGCCAGCACAATCGCCGCAGGGTCTCGATCGGCGCGGCCCCCGGGCGGCCGCGATGCGTTAAGGTGCGCTCGAGGTGCCCCAGTCGAAATGCACCCAACAAAAAGAAAGCTACAACAAAATAGGCCCCGCAGTCGCAATCCCTGGAGAATTCGGCGCGCCCATTTGAAATCCGCCAATCCGGCGCGTGAGTTTAAGAAAGCTACAACCTGAGCTTCAGCTCTGCTGGGGGGTGGCCGGGGCGGCTCTGCCGGGGTAGGAGTTCACGAGCCCCCCCCCCCCTCCCCCCCCCCTTCCCCCCGGAAATCCCAAACCGACCCAAGACGGGCCGAAAGGGGCCCAGGAGGCCACCAAGACGGTCCAGGAGTCACCCGAAACGGCCCAAGAGCGCTCCTGGACGCCCAAGATGGCCTGACGACGGCCCAAGAGGTCTCCAAGACGCCTCAAGGAGACCCCAAGAAGACCCCCAAGAGGGCCCCAAGAGGGTACAATAATAAAGTTGCTAGTAGGTTTTGAAACATTTTAACATGATCGCCCCGTCCGTCTCAGAAGCGCCGAAGACGGTCTGAGAGGCCCCCAAGATCGCCCCAAGACAGCCCAAGAGGCCCCCTAGAGGAGCCAAGACGGTTCAAGAGGGCGCCAATATAACCTTGATGGCCCCCCAAGACGACCCCGAGATGCCCCCGAGATGGCCTCAAGGGGGTAGGCCCGAACGGACCCTGCTAGCCCCCCACCCCAAGATAACTCCAATAGTCCCCAAGATGCCCCCGAGGCGCCTCCAAGAGGCCCCCAGAGGCCCCCAAGAGGTCTCCAAGAGGCCCCCAAGAAGACCCCGAGAGGCCCCCAATGCCCCAAGAGGCCCCAAAGAAGCCCCAATAACCAAGAAGCCCCAAGAGGCGCTCACTCGCGCGCTGCCAGGCCAGGGGCGCGCGGCCTGACTTGGCACTGCTCGGAAGCGAAAGCGATGAACGAAGAACCTTCCGCCCGTCGCCGACGCCGCTCGTCGGCCGTCGGCAGCCGTTCGCCGTCAGTCGTCGTCGTAGTCGTCGTCGTCGTCGTCGTCGGTTCGTCGTCATTAACTCCTTCGTCGGTCGGCGTCGTAATTAACCCGCTCGTCGACCGTTGGTCGTCGGCTGTCGCCGTTATCGTCCATTTCAACAACAATAGCATCAGGGGCGCCCAGGATCGGCGGCACTGGCCGGAGGCCACTACATTCAATAAAAATTAAGCGGTCGAAATAGGCGAGATGCCCGCCGACTCCGCGCTCATATTTTTCGCCGATCGTCGTCTGTTGTTTGCATTTGTTGCACATGAGATAATCCGAGATTAAAATAATTATCCCGGTGCGACCCTACCTAGGAGTTGGAACCCCTAGAAAAGCAGTATTAGTAGTAACAGTAACGCTGAGCTAAAGCTAAGCTCAAGCTAAGCTCAAGCTAAGCTAAAGCTAAGCCACAGCTAAGCTAAAGCTAAGCTAAAGCTAAGCTAAAGCTGAGCAGCAGCTAAGGTAAAGCTGAGCAACAGCTAAGCTAAAGCTAAGCTAAAGCTAAGCTCAAGCTAAGCTAAAGCAAAGCTAAAGCTCAGCTCAAGCTAAGCTAAAGCTAAGCTACAGCTAAGCTCAAGCTAAGCTAAAGCTAAGTTAAAGCTAAGCTAAAGCTAAGCTAAACGCTAAGCGAAAAGCTAAGCGAAACGCTGAGCGAAACCCTAAGCTACAGCTAAGCTACAGCTAAGCTACAGCTAAGCTAAAGCTAAGCTAAAGCTAAGCTAAAGCTAAGCTAAAGCTAAAGCTAATGCTATAAAGCCCCCAGGGGACCGGGGGGGACCGCTCCCAGGGGACTGGGGGAACCGCCCGGGGCGTGTTGCACTGCCCGGCCCCTTTAAGCTAAGAGAGTAAGAACCCTTCTAGGCAGAGCCTAGGTAGGGAAAAACACGCGGCCGGGGAGGCGCTTACTTTTGACTTAACATATATAATAAATGCGCGAAAAATATGCCCGCGCCGATCTGTGAAAATGCAAAAAAAGTGAATGCGAGATGACTTGTTCCCCGGGGCACCCAGCGGGGGCGACGTGGAATGGCGCGACGACGCCAGGGAGGCCCGCGAAGGAACGCGGCTGCCCCGCGAGGCCTTGCCCCCCCCCTGCACCATGCGCCCTCGGGGTGAGAGCCCGGCCGCCCCCTGGCGCCGCGCGGGCGGGGGGCGCGGGCGGGGGCGCGGCGCCAGGCGAAGGGCGCAGCCGCGCGGCTCGGCAGACGACGTCTGATTCGCGCCACCCCCCGCGGCAATGTGCCCGAGAGAATTTCGCCGACGTGGGGCGGTGCCCTAAGGGCAATGAGCCCGCGCAAAAATGCCCTGGCCCCGAAGGGGGCCCCAGCAGTCGCCCCCGACGGGGGGCCCGCCGAAGCCCCGGGCGGCGGCGGCCGCGCGCGGTGCTCGCAGGCCCCTCGCGCGCCCAGACGGAAGCCGCAGCGGCAGAGGCTGCGCACCCTACTTG